AAGGAAATCTAATGGTCTTCAAAGCCTAAAACAAACATCTTTAAAAAAAATAGTAAAGGATGGGCATTCTATATCCTTCAAATATGATTGAACTCCCACATAAAATATGTAGCACAGCATTATCTAACTAAATATTTTCAATATATGACCCTTAAACCTCACCAAGGTTTTGTCCTGATTGCTTGGGTTGGGTATAACTGAATTCTTGTAATAACACTGCAATGCCCATATTCTTACTGATGACATTAAGCTGCCATCCTATTTTCTCCCCTTCCCCTTTTTTTCTTTAGGTTTTTGTATTGGCTATATTAAAAAAAGAAAGAAATTCAGTCATACTGCAACTTTCATAATTGGCCGTCTAGCACTATTCAGAATCAGATACAATAAAATTGAAGCACTAATATTATAAAGAAATTAGTTAGAGGTATTTCATTGGTCACTATCTGCAAGACTCCAGAATCAGTTATGGATATGGTTTGATACAATTAAGATTATCTTGATTTTTTAATTTTTATCCTGGTGTTCTATTTTATGATGATGTTCTATTTTCCATCTTTTGATGTTCCTGTTAAACTATATTGTGGTAAGTGGCAACGGAACATGGTTTGAGTACAAAGCAAATGCATTTTGACATTCAAGCCATAATTCACTCGTTTCTCTATAATCATAAGCCTGCATCTTGCATTTTGATCATTGGAAGTAACTTCTCCATTTTCTATTTCTCTGGTTAACAGCATTAAATACTTTCCCATTACAACTAATTTTACAGATTGCTAATTTGATATTAAGCAAAAAAGCTGTTAGTTCATAGAAAGTTTTACGATGAAACCTTCTGCAGAAAATGAAAACCACAAGAAGTTGAAGATCATATAGGAAAAGCTTGAGTACCTGATAGTCATTCCATAACCTGGACATCTCTTCATAGTAACCAACCCCAGACCAGGAAGTAAAGTGTTTCCTGGCTCGGGGGACTCCTTCCAAGTTTTTGGGAAGCTCCTTAACAATCCTGACATCGCCTTTCATGGATTCGATGAAGTGAAGTTCATCAAATATATCTGAAAATACACTGCACACATACCCAATAGGAAAAAAAATTGAAAAAGGATTCAAATACAATACATACTTAAAAATACAGTATAGCCAGTAATACCTTGAGTCTTTCCAGAATGAACGTTTATCCAATTGCGGTATGACTAAAGTTGCATTCATTATATGTGCCACGGCCACCATGTCTGATATCTATAAGAAAAAGGAATGATTACACACAATGAAAATATTATAAAAAAAATTAAGTAGAACCACAATTGGCTTCACACAAAGTGACTACCAATCGTAGAGAAGGTGCCATCAATGCAAACTGAAATCATTATCATAAGACAAAACAAAACTTGAACTGCATTTCACCATATCCAATTCATCATATTTAGCAAACACAATGAAACGATGAAATATTGCAGGAATGGGGAAAAAGTCAAAATGTTCAGAATTGCCAAAAGGAACCGAATAATGAAAAAAGACAAGAAAATAAACATTATATTTCCAGTATTCGATGACAAAAGACATAACTCAAAACCCTACAGATACAAGAAATTTAAAATAGTAACTTGTGTCCTGAAGTTTGAAACTGTAATTGGATGTAAATACTAAAACTTGACTATACATGCAGTTACAAGCATAAGAGCATGGATTTAGCTATTATATAGGAGTTACAGGACAGTTCAAGTGAGGAAGAAGTAACTTACACCAGTTCGCATTTGATTTAGTCCACCATTACTTCTCACAGTCAAATAGCGATCAAATCCGTGAGCAGCTGATGAGATAAAAGTGTGAAACATATTTAAGAGAAAGGGAGAGAGACAAGTATGCACAAGACAATGACAGAGACACTATGCAGTGGTTGACAAACAACCAATTATAGAAGTGGCAGAAAAAAACCTTAAATAAACAGTGTGGAACCAAGTGAAAGAAGAAAATTCAACAAACAGATTATTACAAGAATAGAAGTAAGCATCTGAAACCTTTGTATTTAGTAGTTGGCTTGACACATTGGTGTAAGCTATGATTGAACGGAGACTCCCAAAGTTGCTTATAGTGCACATGTAACTCTGGCACCTGTAGCAATATGCAACAAAATGCAGTAGTTCTTGAGTGTGAAAAAGGGAGAAAAAAAAAAAACAAAGTGAAGCCTGAACTCCCAGTGTGCTAGTTAATATAGATAGAACCAACAAGACTTGCTGATACCATTCCAAGAATAGAAATCAATACTCTTGAATATGTAAGCAAACAACTACTTGGCACACATTTTAGTACCTACAATACTTTTTTGAGAGAGAAAAAATATTGGAAGAATTGGATAAAGAAAAGAAAATGACTAGCATAGATGCCTATAAATTATCAAAACTATTAAATTCCACAACTGCAAAAATTCTCTTCTCTGCACAGAAAATTTCCACAGCAGACTGTTGTTCTTTCTCTCATTTGTTGGATGTAGAAATTCACTAGACAAAATAACGAATCCAGTTCAATTTATGCAAATCAGCATCTGATTTGGATCTCTAACAGTAAAGTGAATCAGATCAGAGGATCAATAAGGATTCAGGAAAACCAATAATTCCCTCCACATCCCTAACTCTGAATCAATTTAATTGAATTGAAAACAATGGAAAGAATAGACAAGGGAATAGCACGTACCTGGTGAGGTTTAGATTGCTGAGAAAGCAAAGGGTATGGTGGATCTTCGTCAACACTAATGTTCCTCATGTAGAAAAAGAACACGAAGATGGAGAAAGCAAATATGAACATGATGTAGAAAGTGATAACACTGGGAGATAGCTTTCTAGCATGAAATCTACCAGTAAAGGGGCTGCTAGAGATGTATGAGCCTCTGCTCATCTCTGCCCTCACCTTTTTCTTTAACTAAAGTGATAAACCTGCATCTGTATGAATCAAGTCTTACAAGGTTATTACTGTTCAGTAAAAAAGAACAAATAAAAACTATATCATGCTTAAAAGTGATATGATCACTAATTGTCAATGATGAACTTTCCTAGTAATATGCAGGAGCAAATGATCATTTTGACCCCAATTATTACTGGTAGGTGTACATTATTCTTTAACTTATTAACCAATTAGCTATATTGATTCAACCATTAGCTCATCAATTTAAGTTGATGACCCAGCCAATGACATCTTAATTGTTGGTGTGACACTTTATGGTTGATAAGGAGTTATCTAGGGGTGCACACAAGGTTGTGGAAAAACAATGTTGAAACCAATCAAAACACTACAATTCTGTTAGGTTTGGTTTTGGAAATTTTCATGTTCAATATGAACTTAACCAATGGGAACAAAATCAGATTCGTCTGGATTTGTTTTTTGGCTTGCCTTTTTTTTTTTTTTTTTGCAGATTTCATATAAACTAGAAGTGTGTGTTTGTGTATATGAAAAATTACAAAATAAAAGACATGAATTGTCTATTAAGACAAACACTCACATCTTGAAGGACATTAAAATGAGAAAATTAATCCATCAATATTCAAAAGCTCCATGACACTTGGTTAATGATTACTAAGAGTATTTCCACTATGAAGCCATCAAATTGAGAACACAAAGGCAAGACAAAAAGAAAAATAAGAGATAAGATATTTAGAAGAAATTTACTCTTGCCAAATTGCCAATAAATAACACAGGAATCTTACCATACTCATCAATCCTCACATTACAAGAAGAAAACAACAGCAATGGAGTAAATCCGTAAAAGAGATTAACACTTGCCCAACAAAATCACCAATCATCCTATCCTACATGCAGTCCCAAAACAGCAAAAACCTCAGCTACTTTTAATACTGATAAGCTAAACCAGTAACTAAGCATACATGGAACTCGCTCCATTGTCCACACCTGAACTCAAACACATAAACATCATTTGAACATGTCAAGACAGAGTGAGTTGCAGGGCTCATTTCATGATTCAGATTTTTTTTATTTTTTTTTATTTTTTACTTCATAAGAACAAAATCATACAGCAATAAAACATGAATCAAACAAATGCGGAACACCGAAACCAACAGCTTCATAAAGTAAAGAGCAACTACAAACGGATAAAATACAAATACATCCTGCACCATCCAATGATACTATAACGCCTCAAATCCATTACTTCAAATACGTATGTTCCCAAAAGGAACTACAAGAGAACATGTTTTAATTATTAGCAACAAGCGTATTTTCATCTCTGTAACACGCATAAATCGAGACACATTTACTCACCGATTGCGAATTGTCGGCAGTGGCAGAGATATTCCTCCTCTTATTTCGGTTGCTCTTTCTCCTGAAAAATAGAGAAAATCACTCATCAGTACAAAGAACACAATTAAATTGACAATGGAGCCATGCCACCGAATAAAGACGACGAAGAAATCACCTGTGCAGAAAAGTTGAGATGACCTAAACAAAGGTAATATAGGGTTTGGAGCTTGGAGTTTGCGGTTAGATTCACAAGTGAGGAGAAGTGAATTACGAATGAAATGAAATTGAACAAGGTCAGATAGATTCAGATCTGATTTTGAGCAGGGCGATGCAAAGAGATACAAAAGCAGAAAAACACTTGTAATAGGTAATTCTGATGTGATTGTCCATTTACGCTTATAACCCGTTTACTCCAACCCACGCGAATTTTGTGGAGTAGTTCGGTTCACATGGTTGAGTGGTTCGTGGTTTAAATCGGAAACATGGTTGCACCATACCGCGATTAATTAGTTGAATACCAGTGAAAGTGAGGGTGCCTCGACACAAAATAAAAAAAAAAATTTTTAAAAAAATTAAAATTAAGAAATTAAGAAAGTGTGTGGTTTAATTTTATAATAGTGGAATAGTTAAATAAATTAAATAAAGATAAAAAGGTAATTAAGTAAATAAGTTAAGGGATAAAAAGGGAATGTAAACACTAAATAAGATATCCTTTATTAATGTTATATTATTGTTATAGATATACAAATGATAAATTTTATTTTACATGTAGTTAATATAATTAAATTTAATTATATGTATAATATAATAATATATAGTTATCAATATGCCAACACGTCGTTGGTAAAGGTCTTCAATCCTATTTTATTTTTTAACGTACTTTGTCTTTATTTTTACATTTTTAAAAAATTTCTTAAAAGATTATTCATCCTTAAATTACTCTAAATCAATCATATAACTATTGAGTTATTAAGAGAAGAGCTATATCAAAAAATAAATGTATATTATTTGTTTAAGTAGTACAAATTTATTCATTTAGGTTATTCTTAACCGTATAGTCTCTCACTTGTACAATTTATAGATCCTCTCATTTTGATGTGTCTGAGATGTTACAAAAATATATAATTTTATGTTACAATATAAATCAATTATCATGAATCCAAAAATATAATTTATGTATTTAAAAATATCTACTTATTCAAAATTTAAATATAATTCATATACTCAAAAATATTTAAATACATAATTTATTTTAATTTTAGTTATATATAATAAACATTTAATTTATGCATCATACATACTAAAATACTAATTTATTATAAAAAAAATGGAAAGGAAGAAACACTACACATTCTAATTTAAATACAATTGTGTATCATAAATCCAAATTCTGTACAAATTATTATAATAGGATAAATTTATTTGATTTTATTGAAAAATAAACTTAATTAATCAACTATTTTATCTCTAACAGTTTTTTTTTCCTCAAAATTCAATATCAATTAAATATAACACAACTTATTTATTTTTAAATTCTACAAATACTTTTGTCCACTACCTAATGTATACTAGTTTCATACATTTTATGAATAGACTTATAACTTCATGAAATATTACAACTTTAATTTTATTAGTCAACTAGATGTCTTTTTAGGTATGGACTAATTATTTTCTAGTCATGCCTTGCTAAACTATTTTAACAATCATCATTTTTGGTTAGTTTGTCAAGGATAAGAGTAAAGACTTCTTGATTTCCAACTAGGTTAAGACATCTTTGAAAGAGGATGCTTAAGTATTAGCCTTCTTGAAGTTGGAGCATAAGGTTGTAGAGTGAGGTACCTATAGTGAGTGAGTTCCTTGAAATATTTCCTAAGGATATGTATAGTCTACCACCCAAGTGTGAGATGGAGTTAATCTTGCATAGACGTAGTAGCAAGAATCAAATCCATATTTATAGCACCTTATAGGATATCTCTTTGTAGAGTTAATTGAGCTTAAGAAGAAGTTAGAAGAGTTGTTAGAGAAACATTTTGTGAGACCTAGTGTATCAACTTGAGGAGCGTCAATCCTTTTAGTAACTAAAGAAGAAAGATGGGAATATAATTATTGTCAACTGAACAAGGTGACGATTAAGAACGAACATCCTTTGCCTAGAAAAGATGACCTTGTGGACTAGTTTGTGAGAGTTTGTGTGTTCGGTAAGATAGACCCTAGATTAGGTTATCACCCAAATAAAACCAATGTGAAAGTTGATGCCTTAAGAAATATTTGCATGTGTCAAACATGGTGGTTAGGGAAATGGATTTGATTGTAGAGTTTAGAGATATGAGTTTAGCATGCAAGATCACTCTTACTGGAGTGAGACTAGGTTTAATTTGTTGAGAGTAACGAGTGAGCTATTAGTTGAGATTAGAGAAGGTCAAAATATTGGCCAATTCTTGATTACTAGAGTAGAGGCTAAATAACAAGGAAAGGATGGTGAGTTTAATTGAGTTTACTCACTTCATCTTTGTCAACCTTAGGCTTATTTTATTTGATTTTTCTTAAATAAATTTATTTAATTAACTATTTTATAACTAACAATTTTTTCTAAAAAAATAAATGCCAATTAAATATAACAAAGTTTAATTATTTTTAAAATTTAATAGATAATTTTATCCACTAAATACTTAACCGCGTGCATTTACAGGGTAATTGTTTATGAATATATGTAAAAACATATAAATTTATACAACTTTTCATTAACATATTATACCTTCATGTAATGATACAACTTTTCATTAACTTTGAAAACTCTCGCAATAAATGTGGTTAATTCGATTATATGAATTCAATTTTCTCTTCTACCACAACACCAAAAATGATTTTTTGTGGCAATTTTTATGTTATTTAGTGACCATACAAATGATCATTAATATCTTTACCAGCAATTAGATTATGGTCGTTGTATTTGGGGTCGGTAAAACTATTAGCGACATTTAAAGTGAGTGTTGGTAAAGACCTTTTAAATGGCCGGGAAAAATAAAAACATTTAATGACAATTCTAGTGACAATTTTAATGGCCACTAAAAGTAATTTTGTTAAATAATAGATTCTTATATATGTAAAAAAAATTGTTTAAAAATACAATTGAATTTCATTAGATAAAATCATTTATTTTGATAGCTTATTAATACTCAATTAATTAAATTCAATTAAATAAAATTATTTTTAGTCCAAAACTAATCAGCTGAAAAGAGGAAGGCCAAGTTGTTAATGTCCATCTTCACTGTATTGGTAGTTATAACTACATTTTTTTCTGAACGATTCAGGGACATAAACACAACAAAAGATGGCAAGGATTTGAAGACAGGATTGTAATGACGCCCAGGAAAAGATGGCAAGCCCAATAAAACCCAACCAACCAACTTGTATTATCGAGAGGACCCAAATTGTGCAATAAACTTGTAATGACGAATGATTAATTGCTATTGAAAGGGACATACCTTCTTTCATGTTTTTTTTAAGTGTTCTTTTAACAAATTCGAACATTGTTTTTCATGTTGCTGGAGTAGGATTATGTACCATCCCAGATTTTTTTAAAAAAAAAATATGAATCCACCAAGTTGGGATAGACGAGGAGGACATAAAGCATTATCCTCATTGTGTCTCACTTTACCCGCTCGGACTAGTATCACAATAAGTCTTGGTAAGAGTCCTAATGTTCCAACACAGTAACAAACTTCACCAAGCTGTTTTTGTGCTGAAGAGACAATTGCATACTGTTGAAAATATAACACAACCAAGAAGATATCCGAAGTGACATCTAAGCAAAATAGCAAGGTGCAAAAACATGCAGCAAACATCTAGAAATCTGCATGGTGGGAAAGAAAGTTGAACTATGCAATTTCTACCTTTCAAGAGAACAAGGAAAACTGCAGGTAGTTTCAATCAACAGGGACTTCAACATCCATTTTTAGATCAAATAATCACCATTCATGGATAAATTGGCAATTGCCTTTGCTGATAGTATGCGAACAGCTTCATCATTATCTTTTCTAGTAAGCTTGAGCAAGGAAGTGAGGTCATCAACTTGAACCATATTGGTTTTGTTAACCTCTACATATTATAATAAATCAAATTACTATACAAAAAAAATTAAATACTCAAAAGAGAAGCAACAAGATTTTTTTAAAACCTGTTTCCACTATAACAATTGGAATTTTAGTTGATTGTGATTCTACAAATCCAAACAAAAAGGTTGAGAAATTACAAGAAGACATGGGCCAAACCTGTTTCACAGTTGCAGTAGATTTTGTAGGTAATTGTGATTCTACAAATCCAAAAAGACAAATATGTAAGCTATAAAATAGAAAAAAAAAATTTAGATAAGATTGAAACAATAAACAAAAAGCAGTAAAAAATTACCATGAGTACCAAAGGGCATATGTGGCATTTCTGGTGCTTTTTCCTGGCCAATATTAGTACCAAAGACCTAATTAAGACATAAGAAAATAAATTTTTTTACAATCAAAATTTGAAAAAAAAAATTGTTTAAAAGCATTTGAATCATACCTGTCCAAATGAGCTTCCATTGAACTTTTGAGGCATAGATAGCTCCATTGGAAAATGTTTATACATGAATTTTCTAATGAAAGATAGTTCTGAAAGTAACATATCTTGATTTTGTTTCATCAAATTCATTTCTTCATCATGTTTTTCCTTTAACATCCTCACCTCTTGCTCTAATCTTTGTACTACCTCATTAGATATATTATCAGCAAAAGTACTTCCTATGGAAGATTTAGAACCCCACAACAAAGAAGGTGTTGGACCAAGCCCTAAGCCACGAACATAGCCACTTCTTTCAGCCCCCAATACTTGGGAATACACATCTCCTTCCCAAGCAACACTACCAATAGGTTTTTCATTAGATGCTTCACTATTGTTCAATTTTTCTTGCATCACATCCTATGTAAGCAAGTTTGAAGTTATTGTATACTCACAATCAATATAAAAATATTCAAAATAATTCAAATGGCATATATAATATATAACAAGTATAAAAATTGCTTAAAAAATCTAACCACTATATTTTTGCAGACACTTCATCCAATGGTCTTCCATCTTTACGTTTCTTATGAGTTAATATAAAGATTTCTGCCTTGTAGGCTCCATCCCATCTATGGCCTAATAGGATTAAGTTGATGTCAAATAAATTCTCAAGACAAATGTAACAATATTATAATTTGTAAATTATCCACAAATACCTTTTCAGCCATTAAGGTTCTAATACTTTTGGATCCTCCAGTGTGAGGCATCTTTTGCTTTGTCCTATTATTTATATTTGCCTGGCTACGCTTCTGTTATTAAAATACACAATAACATCATATAATATATTTATAAAAAAATAAAGAGAAATATAAACTATGTGTTGGTCTTTTCTAAAGTTGTTACCTTTCCTTTATCAGAAAGCCAATAAGAGACAAGACCAGTCCATTGGT